ATCAGAATGCCTCTCCTCCAGGGGATCACAGCTCCTCAACAGCAAGGGAACAAGGCCTGATGGAGAATGAATGTGATGAATTGTCAGAATCAGGTTTCAGAAAGTGGATAATAAGAAACTTCTGTGAGCTAAAAGAACATGTTCTAACTCAATGCAAAGAAACTAAGAACGTTGAAAAAAGGTTGGATGAAATGCTAACGAGAATAGACAATTCAGAGAGGAATATAAGTGAATTAATGGAGCTGAAAAACACAATACGAGAACTTTGTGAAGTATGCACAAGTTTTAACAGTCGAATTGACCAAGAAGAAGAAAGGATATCAGAGGTCAAAGACCAACTCAATGAAATAAAATGAGAAGGCAAGATTAGAGAAAAAAGGGTAAAAAGGAATGAGCAAAGTCTCCAAGAAACATAGGACTATGTGAAAAGACCTAATCTACATTTAATAGATGTATCTGAATGTGACAAAGAGAATGAATCCAAGCTGGAAAATATTCTTCAGGACATTATTCAGGAAAACTTTCCCAACCTAGCAAGGCAGGACAATATTCAACTCCAGGTAATACAGAGAACACCACAAAGATATTCCTCAAGAAGAGCAACCCCAAGGCACATACTCATCAGATTCACCAGGGTTGAAATGAAGGAGAAAATGCTAAGGGCAGCCAGAGAGAAAGGTCAGGTTACCCACAGAGGAAAGCCTATCAGACTCACAGCAGATCTCTCAGCAGAAACCCTACGAGCCAGAAGAGAGTGGGGGCCAATATTCAGCATCCTTAAAGCAAAGAACTTTTAACCCAGAATTTCATATCCAGCCAAACTAAGCTTCATAAGTGAAGGAAAAATAAAATCTTTTGTGAACAAGCAAGCACTCAGAGATTTCATCACCACCAGGCCTGCTTTACAAGAGCTTCTGAAAGAACCACTACACATAGAAAGGAACAACCAGTATCAGCCATTCCAAAAATATACCAAAAGGTAAAGAGCATCAACATAAAGAAGAATCTACATCAACTAATGGGCAAAACAGCCAGCTAGCATTAATGGCAGTATTAAACTCACATATATTAATATTAATCCTAAATTTAAATCGACTAAATGCCCCAATCAAAAGACACAGACAGGCAAATTGGATAAAAAGCCAAAACCCATCGGTATGCAGCATCTAGACCCATCTCACATGCAAGGATACACAAAGACTCAAAACAAAGGGATGGAGGAAGATTTACCAACCAAATGGAGAGCAAAAAATAAAAAGCAGGAGTTGCAATTCTTGCCTCTGATAAAATAGACTTTAAAGCAACAAAGATCAAAAGAGACAAAGAAGGACATTACATAATGGTAAAAGGATCACTGCAACAAGGAGAGCTAAGGATCCTAAATATATACGCACCCAATATAGGAGCACCCAGATACATAAGGCAAGTTCTTACTGACTTATAAAGAGACTTGAACTCCTACACAATAATAGCAGGAGACTTTAACATCACATTGTCAATATTAGACAGATCAATGAGACAGAAAATTAACAAGGATATCCAGGACTTGAACTCAGACCTGGAACAAGTAAACTTAATAAACATTTACAGAACTCTCCACCCCAAATCCACAAAACATACATTCTTCTCAGTACCACATCACACCTACTCTAAAAGTGACTACATAATTGGAAGTAAATCACTCCTCAGTAATTGCATAGCATTTCACAGGTTTAAATGAAACATTGGTTGGCGGCTTGTTTGTTATTTTCCTCCCTTATTCTTTCCTGTCTCCATTGTTAAGCACAATTATTGGCATAAAATAGGTTTTTAATACCCATTTTTAGACTGCATTCTAGCCTGGGCAATAAAGCAAGACTCCCGTTCTCTCTCCCTCTTTCTCTTCCTCTTTCTTTCTCTCTTTCATTTTTTTCTTTCTTTTTTCCCTTAAAAAAAGATATAGCACTATATAAAATATAAAATAAATGTAAACTTTCATTATAATTACTGGTACGTGCAAGGCCCCATGCTAGATGCTCTGAGAGATTAAAGTAAAAAGAGACACAGTTTCCATATTTATATAGTTTACTATCCAATTAGGAACACAAGCTGCAGTTCCACATAAAGTTAAATATTATTACCCAAGAAGAAGACACACAGTCCAGTTCAGCAGCACTGACCAAACTCTTAAATACAAAAGCCATGGGGAACTGGGTGACTTAGAGCAGAAGGGTATTTTTATAAAAGGTGTCAGTCTCACATTTATTGCCCTTCATCTGATGCTTATCTCTTTGACATGATGAAAAAAGGCTCAAAGCAGATTGTAGAATAAACACATTGCAATGGGCCAGCCCTGTGTTAATCCTGCAGTGGTTTAGCCATTGGTGACTGCTACATGACGCAAATGCTGACACTGGATTAAGACTCCTGACAACAGAGATGGGTTGATGTGTGAGTGTTTTAAGAAGTGGGCCAACCCATCAATATCTGAAGTCTGTAGAGGGTTGGCAAATGCGTCAGCTAATTTTTTTTTTTTAATTTTTTCTGAGATTTACAGAGAGTTTCAGGCTGTGATTATCCAGCTTAAGAGGTAATTCTGTAAAAGAACCAGTACAAAACTGTGTGTCCCACTGCCAAATGAATACTACAGTTAACAAATGCTCTGTGAAATCAAGGACAAGGCTGCTTATTATGGTCTGGGGTGATCACAGAAGGCCTTGCAAAGAAGTGATTATGAAAGGGCCTTCAACAAGAATTTAAGATAATCCTTGCACTAATTAATCCCTTTTAAGTCAAATATTAATTCTCCCAACTTAATTTTTAAATTTGTCACTCTAAATTTTTACTTATAGACTGTCCCTAAATGGTGCTCTGTAACCAAAGATAATTTTTTGGCTAAATTATGAATTTAGTAGGTTTCCATGAGTTGATCTGAGAATACAGCATCCAGAGCATGGCTTCTGTGGGAAAAGGGGAGCTATTCTGAACTTCAGACAATCATTTAAAAACCCATTTTTGAAAACTCTGCTTTGACTGGTTCTTTCTTTCCACAAATATTTATTAAGCCCTCTTGGCATGTCAGACACTTGTTGCAGGCACTGAGGTTACATCAGTGAACAAAACAAAAAATCTCTTCCCTCATGGAGCTGACATTCTAGAGAAAAGATTGTTAATAAGCATAATAAATAATTGGTATGGTGTGTTGGAATAAACAAAAGGTAGAATAGGGTAAAAGGGATGGGGTGGGTGGCCATTTTAAATAGGATAGTCTTTGGGTGACATTTAAGCCAAGTGTGAAGGCAGCTGGCTAAGGCTACCGACCACATAAGGGAAAAGCATTTAAGGCAGAAGGAAGAGCCAGTGAGTGCAACGGCCATGAGGCAGAAGTTTACCTATTGAGTTGAAGAACAGCAGGAAGGCCAGTGTAGCTGCAGATGGGAGAGAAGAGGGAGAAGATGAGGTCAGAGAGGTAACTCATATAGTGGCAGGAAGGGGACTTGCCTGATCATACAGGGCCTCTTGCAGGCTATTCTAGAGCTTTTGAGAAAATGAGACATCACTTGTATTAGGCTGGCTTAAAATAGGGCCATCTGTATAAAAATAATTCCTCTTTAAATTGTCTCCTTAAACTTAAGGGTGTATAAAAATCACCCAGGATCTTGCTAAAATTCAAATTCTGATTTATTAGGTTTGGGGAAAGTCCTGAGATTCTGCATCTTTATCAAGCTTTCAGGTGACATCAGGCTGTTGGTACACAGGCACACTTTGAGTAATGAGCTCCCAGGGGCTTTTGGGCTTCTCTCCACTAGCTGGTTACAAGGGCCTTTTTGTTCCCTTTGAACCTGAAAAGACCACCTCGAAAGGTTTTTTCTTTATATTTTTACATTACCCAAGGGTCTCTTAGTATTCATGGTCCTATTACCTCGCTAGAAAGAGCGTGGTCCAAGGCTGCCTCCGGGACCATGAGGCAGGTTGTCCGGCTGTTTCCATGCACAGTGTAGGAAGTTTCTAGGGCTTCTGCATTGCCACTTGGAGGCTCTGCTTCTGAACTTCAGTCTGCTCCCTGAATAATAATTTCACCTCTGACCACATTCTTGTCTTACTCCAATTTCAAGAGCTCTAATACAGGTCTTCACTTCTACTCCTATACTTTGAGTGATAGTCCAGCTCTGCAAACTGAGGCAGCTGGGGGACTTGGGTGATGTTCCCAGGCAGAAGAGGTGGTCAGGTGGCCGACAGAAGCCTGTTTGCTAAGGAGCAAGGCCGACTGCTGAAGAGCCAGCCTGGTAATTTACAGTGGAACACGTCTGGAAGGACTTACCATTTCCAAATATAAGGCATAGGATACCGAGTCCCATGGGCTTGAGTTTGAATTGTGCTTCCATCCCTTACTGTGTAACCTAGGGAATGTGCTCAGGTGTCCTGAGCTGCAGTTTTCTTATCTGGAAAATGGAAATGATACAGATACCTCCTTCGTCAACTGAGACAATGCATTTAAAGCACCGAGTAAAGTGCCTGGCACAAATGATACAAAATATTAGTTGCTATTGTTTTTCTAATTTTTACTACCATCCACTATGTACCAAATGGCTTTCAAGCCCGGCATTATAGCATCCACCTTTACATTCTCTGGAGTTACCAGAGCAAATCTCTCAGGAAAGGGGTTCAAAGAGAGACACACAGGCCCGAGCACTTTCTTCATGACAGCGGTCACAAGAGACAACTGGAGAAGCTGAAGATGTTTAGTTTAGAAAGCAGATGATGGGGGACAGGTGGTGATGGCTCTCAGGGCTGCCTTGTTCACCAAAACCCTGAAGGCACGACGAGAGCGCAGAGAAGAGATGAAAGGGCAGCACCCCTCCCCTCCCCGCGACGCATCCCCCGGACGCGTGTTACAAAAACTTGCTAAGAGCGAAAGCGAGTCCGCGGGAGAGTCGGGGTGGGAGTGCCCGCGGGGGTCGTCTCGTGCGCAGCCGCGGCGGCGGCGCCAATCACGGGGCGCATCCCGTCCTCGCGCGACGGTGCAGTCGTACGGTCGTGACGTCGGCGGGTGCACGGGAGAGACGCGCTCGGTCCGGAGAGCGAGCTGGCGTCAGGAGCCGCGGGGTCACAGCGTGGTTTTGAAGCCGCATCCGCCGCCACCATGAGCGGCCGAAGTCGGGGTCGAAAATCCTCCCGCGCCAAAAGCCGGGGCAAAGGCCGCGCCAAAGCCCGAGTCCGCCCTGCTCCTGACGACGCCCCGCGCGACCCGGACCCTTCACAGAACCAGAGCCTCGGGGAGGACATCCGGGCGGTACAGGTGCAGGATGGCGCGGGGTGGGGTGGCCTGGAAACCGCTGCGTCCGCGCAGCTCCTCGGGCCTGGGGAGGAGGCCGCCTGCCGGCTCCCCCTGGACTGTGGCCTCGCGCTGCGGGCCCGAGCTGCGGGAGACCGCGGGCATGCCGCGGCCAGTCCCGGCCCCGGGAAGGCCGTATCTTTCTCGGAGCGCCTGGTCGCAGACACTGTCTTCGTGGGAACAGCGGGAACCGTGGGAAGGCCGAAAAATGCCCCCCGCGGTGGAAACCGGCGTGGCCCTGCCCGGAAGAAGGCCCCAGAAACGTGTAGCTCCGCGGGGAGGGGGCCTCAGGCGATAGCTGGTAGGAAGCAAAAGAAAGGGGCGGCAGGGGAGAATACCTCCGTCTCAGCAGCGGAGGAAAAGAAGGAAGAGAGAGATGCAGGGGCGGGGCCCCCAGCTACGGAGGGCAGCATGGATACTCTGGAGAACGTGCAGCTGAAGCTGGAGAACATGAACGCGCAGGCGGACAGGGCCTACCTTCGACTCTCTAGGAAGTTTGGGCAGTTGCGACTGCAGCACTTGGAGCGCAGGAACCACCTCATCCAAAATATTCCAGGCTTCTGGGGGAAAGCATTTCAGAACCACCCCCAGCTAGCATCCTTTCTGAACAACCAAGAAAAAGAGGTACTGAGCTACCTAAGCAGCCTGGAAGTGGAAGAGCTTGGCCTTGCCAGATTGGGCTACAAAATCAAGTTCTACTTCGATCGCAACCCATATTTCCAAAATAAGGTGCTCATCAAGGAATATGGGTGTGGTCCTTCTGGCCAGGTGGTGTCTCGTTCTACTCCAATCCAGTGGCTCCCAGGGCATGATCTCCAGTCCGTAAGCCAGGGAAACCCAGAAAACAACCGTAGCTTCTTCGGGTGGTTTTCAAACCACAGCTCCATTGAGTCTGACAAGATTGTGGAGATAATCAACGAGGAACTGTGGCCCAATCCCCTGCAGTTCTACCTTTTGAGTGAAGGGCCTCGTGTAGAGAAAGGAAAGGAAAAAGAAGGCAGACAGGGTCCAGGAAAGCAGCCAGTGGCAACTCCTCAGCCTGGGGTGAGCCAGTCCAACTGATTCTGCACAAGTCTCCCTGCTGCTTCCTGCCGGACTGTTCCTGGTTGACGACGTGTTTGGCTCTCTGCCTTCTCTTCATGTTGGCCTCTGTGTACTCTAGACCCTTTGGACTTTAGTTACAAGAATATGGCATTTATGATCATGTTCTTTTGCCTCTTCATAGCCTCTTGCTTTTCCATGTTCATGTTATGTGATCACACCTGGACTGTTTAAATGTTAAGCACACATGCTTTAGATGTGTGCCGCCTTTTATCTACATTGCCTGGACCTTGTTCTTGGCCCTGGCCTTCCCTACTTGTCTTTAACATGGACACTCGTGAGTCATCTTCCAGGACGACCAGTGCATCCTCAAGCTCTGCTCTTTCAGGGCCAGTGACTTGCTGGGCTTTGTGTTCATGCTGGCCATGCATGTCATCTATGCAAGCGTTTCCATTGCCACTGCAGAATGAAGTCAGTGCACATGGTATTGGTCATCAGCCAGAACTTACTGTTCTGTGGGTCTGGGGTCACCAGCTAAGATGTCACCTACTTTAGCTTTGGCCTGTGGTCCATGATGCTTATCGTGCTTGATGTTCTGCAGAATGGCACTTGACTGCTGGGCATGCATGAGGTTAAGGGCAAGAAACAGTATGCCATGTGTTCTATACCATCATGTATCTCTTCCTGTTTCTGGGCCTTCTGCTGGTGAACTTTCATCTACTGGTGAACTTTCATCAAGATCTGTGCCATGCCCTGTCACTATCAAGCCATTAAGTTTTGTCTGGGTTGCTATCAGCCTCAGTTGGTTTCCTGGTCAACAAGGACCTCAAGAACTGCCTGTGGACCAAGGCTCCCTGCCAGTGCATGAGACACACACCTATCCTCCCCAGCCTTCCAGGAACTCCACTGTCTGCCAGACTGTTGGGCAGGCTGGTATGTGTGGACCTGTGTTCACTGTCATGCTGTGGCTCCAGGTGAGGGTGAGGACTGGGCCTGTATGGAATCCAGCCAGATATCTTTGTCAACTTCCCTCATTCCCTTCTAAGACAGGAGCAGAGTGCCATAGTAGGGGTTCTGGAGAAGAAGTTATTTCTGATCTGTGGGCCTCTGCTTGCTTGACTTCAGGTCACTCATACTTACTTGGCTTACCTTCCTTCCTCCCTCCATCCCTCATTTCCTCCCTCTCTTCTTCTCTCCCTTTCCTGGTAGCCTCCTTTCCTCCCCTTCTGCCTTCACCCTTCCTTCCTTATTCCTTTTTATTTTGTTTAAATAGTACCACAGAGAAAAAAACTGAAAAACCACGGTTTTCTACGTACAGCTAGGAAGATAGCTGAGAACTTGACACTGTGCACACATACTAGGCTGAAAGAGAGTCGAGGAAACCAGAAGTCCGAGTGGATCTGCTGGCAGACCCTGAACCTGTCTCCAGGGCTCACTCTGCAGTTCTGAAGTTGAAAATCCTTTTCATGCCTAGCATCTGCTCGAGTTACAAACCCCAGGGCGGCCATGTCATAGACTAGTGTTTACTCATTTCCACTTTGTTTTAATTCTCCCTAAGACCCAAGTGTCTCCTGCTGCTTCCTCCTCTGTGGTAGCCTCTGGCCGTCTGGACCTCAGCACCCAGCTTTCCCTTTTTCAGCAGTCCTTTGCTCTCTTTGCTTCTACCTCAAGTAGCTCCAGGAGTAGGCTTTCGTCTCCAATATGGAGCATCGTAAGCTTCTGGGGGATGGGGATGGGGATGGGCAGAATCTGTTTTGGATTTCCAGGTTATTTCCAGTGGATGTAAAAGCAGAGCTGGGCCCTCCCCTGTTATCCCTGAGGGTGGGGAAGAAGGACTATGTCTACACCTGTTCTTCCTACCTTTCCTTTTGTTAGGGAGGCCTCATTCTAAGTTCCTCAAGAGAATCCTTGACTTAAAGTCTAGCAGGGGTGTGCTAGGCAGGGGATTCAGAGCAAAACTGTCTTAGGCATGAGCCTGTTATAGAGCAGGCCTGGAAAATCAGACAGAAATGGCTTGAGAAGCCACAGGGGAGCATGCCTGTCTGTCAGTGACCTCCCTAGCTTAGAAAAGGAGAATTGAGGCCGGGCGCGGTGGCTCAAGCCTGTAATCCCAGCACTTTGGGAGGCCGAGGCGGGTGGATCACGAGGTTGAGAGATCGAGACCATCCTGGTCAACATGGTGAAATCCCCGTCTCTACTAAAAATACAAAAAATTAGCCGGGCATGGTGGCGCGTGCCTGTAATCCCAGCTACTCAGGAGGCAGAGGCAGGAGAATTGCCTGAACCCAGGAGGCGGAGGTTGCGGTGAGCCGAGATCGTGCCATTGCACTCCAGCCTGGGTAACGAACGAAATTCCGTCTCAAAAAAAAAAAAAAAAAAAAGAGAGAATTGAAGGGGTTGTGAATATGGACAAATAGGATGCTTAGTTGAGGGTGTTCCCAAAGTTCTGTCCAATCTCATCATTAGTAGGTTTTATAAGCCACAGAGACAAACCAGAAGCAGAATAATTATACTTTGGATGCTTTCTTTTTTGTTCTAGGTGTGGCTTTGTACATCTACATTAATGCTATATGCTGCATATTTTGCCTTTGAAGTCTTACCAGTTTCCCCATTTTAGTCTAATGGGAAAATAGAGCTGCGCAAGTCTGCTTTTTGTTGTTGTTGTTATTATTTTGCTCTTTGTAATCGACATTTTCAGACATGCACAGAAGTGGAGAGGAACTTGGACCCCATGTGCCCGTCACCTAGCTGCATCACTTTTCAATTACGGTTAACCTGGTTTCATTTGTATCTTTCTCTTTTTACCTGTATTGTTTATTGAAAATCCAAGCCACTATGCCAGTGCAACTGTGACTACTTGGGGAGATTGGTAGTCTTTTGGTGGTGGTAGTGATGGGGTGCACTATCCTAATCACATCAGGTCTGCTTTTTGCTTTTGTTGTTAACGAAATTCCGGAGATGGGCCTTAGAAATGTGTTTTAAGAATTAACAAGGAGTCTCAAAAAGAAATGAGAGGGATTCTTCCTTTCCCTTTTATCCACAAAGGAAGAGAGAGCTTGTAAAACTCTTTCAGAAAAATTCTGATGTGATAAGGTACTTGAGATCCTTCACCAGAATGTCAGTCTTTTTTTTCTGTGTAACATGAAGACTTGCTGTTAGAATTGTTATCAGTTTGTACTGGTCTCATAACTCTGGTTTTGGAAGAATAATTTGGAAATTGTTGCTGTGTTCTGTGAAAATAACCTCCCCAGAATAATCAGTAACTGGTTGTTGTACTCGGTAATTTGACACCCTGTTAATAATGCAATTATTTCTGTGTTTCTAAACAGTATAAATAGTTGTAAGTTTGCATGCATGATGGAAAAATAAAAACCTGTATCTCTGTCATATTTCTGATTTTCAAAAAAGAATTGGAAGGTTGTTAAACAGAGGCTGGCCAGTTGAGAGGATATATACATTGGCCTAGATAAGTGATTCCCAAGCCTCAGACCGTTGCCTGACTAGGTACACAAAAAATACCTAAAATTTTGATTTCTAGGCCTTTTTCCCAAATATTGAGATTATATGATTCTGAGAGGAAGTCAGGTAGCTTAGTTTTTATCATGCTTTCTAGATGATTCAGAAGTGCTGAACTCCCATTAGAATGATCTAGAGTCTAGTGGGAATACAGTGCTTCTCAAATTTTAGAGTGCATCTGAATTGTGTGGAGAATCCTGTTACAATGTGCATTCTGATTTAGTAGTTTGGGAAGGAACCTGAGATTCTGCATTTCTAATGAGCCTCCAGATGATGGCAGTGCCGGTGGTTTGTGGACTGCACTGTGAGTGGAAAGGGGGGTGACCTTGAAGGCCCTTTTAAACTTGAGTAATAGTGCTCTATCTTTGTTGCACACTGGAATTGTCTGGGAAGCTTACAGAAACACTAACAGAGCTCCACACAAAGACCAACTACATCAGAATGGGATAAGGGGAAGGTCTGAGTATAGATATTTTGAAAATTTCCCAGGTGATTCTAGCGTTTAGCCAGAGTTGAGAACTACATCCTCTGATGCTGTTCACTTCAGATCCATAACAAGGTTCATCTCCCATTAATCAGGAGAAGCAGTGGCAGACCACCAAGTGCAACACTAAGTTGCCCAGCAGAAAATGGACAAAATTAGAGGTGGGTGGTTATTGACAAGAAAATAAAATTGGCTTATATGATGAAGGGTTTTTATAAATATGTAATGTTCAGGGCATAGTGGGTGCTCCAGTGTTGAATGAATGAATTTTAAAGCACTGCTTATATTCTGGGCATTTGAATTTGGTTAATTTGTGAAGTGGGCCGCATTTGTTTCATCAGGAAATCTGTTATCAGTTTTCTGGGGCTGCCATAACAAAGTACCACAGACTGAGTACCTTAAACAGCAGGAGTTTATTTTCTCAGTTCTGGAGGCTAGAAATTCAAGATCAAGGTATCAGCAGGGTTGGTTTCCTCTGAGGACCTCACTCGGCTTATAGCTTCCTTCTCTCTGTGTCTTCACGTGGTCTCGTGTTTGTATGTCCTAATCTCTTATAAGGGTACTAGTCATCTTGAATTGGTGCCCGCTCTAATGAGTTGATTTAACTTTAATTTCCCTTCAAAGACCCTGTCTGTAAATTCAGCTACATTATGAGGTATTGGGGATTACAGCTTTAACATACAAATTTGGTGTGAGGGCAGGGGCAATATAACTCCTGACAGCTTCTTAACTTGTATTCTTTTGACACATATGTGCCTCACATGTTACGGTAGTTAATTGTATTGAGGCATATCATGTGCCAGGCACTATTGCAAGTATTACACAATTAATATATTGAGTCCTTAGGACAAATGATAACTATATCTAATGAGGGGATGGGTTGAGGAAATGGGGTAAAAAAGGTCGAGTAAATTACTCAGGATCATGCTGGTAATGAATGAGCCAGGCTTTAAACTCAGGCAGTCTGGTTCAAGAATGCACAGACATGTAGCTCTTGACTCAAGTGGAAATAGTCTTCAGTTTATCAACAGTATCTTTATGTAGAATCTCTTAATTTTGCATGTTAAACAAAATTTAAACTCCTGGAGTTGTTCTGATATGTGGAATGCAGAAGGCTTGAGTTTCCTCTCAGGATTCACTCAGAGTCTGCTTGGATTATGACTTGGGAGGGGCTCTCTGCCCAGTTCAATTAAGTTTATGCACCTGCTTCCCTGTGGGTTCGGGGCCTCTGTTGCCCAGGCCCTCTTTCAACCACCTCTCTTCAGTTCCTTGGGCAACCCATTCAATCTGGGATTTACTACTTCTCCATTGGCTCATTCATTCATTGCCTCTTATATGAATCAGTCTCTAGTGTAGACATTGGAGATATAGCTATGAACAAATACAACTTTGAATTGTTCTTCCTTCACCTGCACCCCCCTACCCTGCCCACCGACCCACCCACCATAGATTTCTTCTTTGCTTTTGCCTGGGATTGACCGCCAATCTCTTTTTTCTAGTTTCCTGCATGGGGCTGGTGAATGCTTTAGATCCATGTGGGTTGGAGAGGGGGCTAAAGGAAGCCTCCCTCACCCTTGACCTTTAGGTCAGGCTTCACAAGGCATTCAGGTCTTCTATAACCTGGAAAGGGAGAGCCTCTTGGGTCATTCTGACTCATCTTAAGAGTCCTTGGCCCCCCTTTTAGCTTTGACTTTTGTTATTAAAAAACCCTCTTCTTGATTTCTTAACTGTTACCTCCTGAGCATTTTTGGAAGTGTGGTAGGTTAGTGCTAGTCTATAGGCGAGGGAGCAGAGAAAAATAAAATGGTCCTGTCACCCTGAGCTTACCAAAGATCTCTACCAACTTTGGATTATTTCTTCTTGCACTTCGAGTTTCTTCATTCTAGTCTATTGTAGTGGTTTGCAACAGAGGAAACGACACACTGCCCTAGGGAGGCATGTTGGAGCCACCTAGAGAGGGAACTTTGGCCAATGTACTTGCCCCTCTGAAGATTCAGAAAAGTCCTTAGCCATGGGGAGCCACTGTTACTGATGGGTAGGGTCATATTCCTTAGGTCTTGGGACAATAAAAAAGTAGAGCTATCCAGTCCATGGTTTCTGTCTTTATTTGCCCTTAGTGTCTTCACTTCTGCTTTTGGAATCTTCTCCAACTATATTTTACTGTTCAGGGTCACACCTCACTACTGCTCATTCACGTCCACCTGAAACTCTGGCCTTGGGCCCTCCTGTCAGGTGTCCAGCTACTGACCATCCAGGGCTCGAGCCTTGAATTTCTCTTTTCGCTCTGTCCTGTCACCCTGGTCCTCAGCTGAGGTTTGACAGATACTCACTTGAACTTGGGAGGTGGAGGTTGCAGCGAGCTGAGATTGTGCCACTGCACTCCAACCTGGGTGACAGAGCAAGTATAAGACAAAGTAGCTACCATCTGTGTGACAGTTCATGGTTTACAAAGCATATTTACTTACATTATCTTGATTATAACAACTGTCCCATCAGAAGGCTCAAAGGGGTTACATAACCAAAATCACAAAAGTAGTAGAGCCAGGACTCAAACTTGGGGCTTCTGATTCCAACGGTAGGCATGTGGCCCAGGGCAGATGTCTGGCACTACCAATCTAGACACTTTTTTCCCCCGCAGACCTGTATTTAACTTTCTGCACAGCAGATTAGCGAGTTGTGGCCAATCAATCTGAGTTGGCATATGAATATGAAACTTTTTAACCATCCCAAACTACAGCATGCATGTGATCATAACTAGGAGCAGGACCGACTTGACTCAGTGGTGGGTGAGGCTTCCTTCAACTGCATTGTTCAAAGGTTAGGATTGGCTCTAGATACAGTATGCTTGTAGATGAGGGCTGAGTACAGTTTTTGGCCATATGTATCAACAATTGCATATAAATGAATTGGAGAAGGGGAAATTTTGCTTTTATAAGAAGAAGTCTGGTAATGGGAGGTTGTCAGGTTGCAGGCCTCAGCAGCTTAATGATAGTAGGTATCTGAGTCTGCCATCTTGGCTTTCCCCTCACGATTCGCCAACTCCAGGCATCACAGCCTCACCCAACTGCACTTAGAGGCAGGAAGAAAGGAGGAGGGGGCCTTCTTACGTGTCTCTGTTTTTATCAGGCAAGACCTTTTTCAGTAGTCCCTGGTGTATTTCAGGAGACCTAAGTCAGGTCTTTTGGGGTAGAAATGGGTCACATTCCTACAACCTACCTCAAGGAAATCTTGTATTTTCTAGTGTCTCTCGTGGGGTTAGGGTTCTGCCATCTAGAAATAAGGAAAGTTCAGGAGCTAGAGCTGACAGGCTGTTTTCAATCGCTGTAGTTTTATCCTTTCTGAGATAATTTTGCAGATATTAGACACAAGATAACACCATGCACCTGCCTTTTCCCCCAGGTCTCCCAGTTACCTCGTCTAACATGAAGGCTTTACCCTGTGCTTAGTGTTTTATGTCTCGTCTCCTCTATTACATGGTAAATGCTTTTCTGGCCAGGCAATGCCTTTTTGGTTTTTGTATCTCCCGCAGCACCACCTCGGGGTTCACTCAACATTTGATGTGGGTGATCAATAAATGGTAGTTGAGCAAATGCAATACATCGGTGAGCTTTCTAAAATGCAAATTTGATCATGTCAACCACTGGTTAAAACCTTCAGCAGTAGGATCCAGAATCCCAAAGGAGCTCCTACAGGCCCTCCATTATGTGGCCTTACCTTTTGTTTCTTCCAAGCTTCCTTATCACAAAAACTTACAAATATTTGGAAAAGTACAATGACCACCTGTATGCCTACAACTTAAGTTCAGTGATTGTGAACTTTCTGTCATATTTAGTTTGTCTATTTTCGTGTGTGTACATATGTTTATTTTGCTGAACCATTTGAATTAGTTGCATGATGCTTCACCCCTAAATATTCAGTGTGGATCTCATTAAAAATAAGGATACTAGCCGGGCATGGTGGCAGATACCTGCAACCCTAGCCTCTTGGGAGTCTGACACAGGAGAATCGCTTGAACCTGGGAGATGGAGGTTGCAGCAAGCTGACATCATGCCACTGCACTCCAGCCTGGGTGACAGAGAGAGACTCTGTCTCAAAAAAAAAAAAAAAAAGTTTACCACATAATCACAAGATCACTATAAGACTGGAAATTGATTCCCAAATAACCATCTAGTATCCAGTCCATATTTAGATTTCTCTATTGTTCCCAAGGTTATCTTACCCTATTAGTTTTACAATCAGGATTTAATAATATTCAGGCATTCCATTTGACTGCTGTATCTCTTTAGTCTTTTTAAAATCGGGATAATCCCCCCACCTTTTAAAATTTTCCCACTCATGACACTGACTTTCTTTCAGCTGGTATTCTGGTATAAGAAAGATCTTTC